CTTTTAACCTTCTGTGGTGTAGTGGTAGCGCCTTGACTTAGTAATCATAAGTCCTAGGTTCGAGTCCCAGTCGGGGTAAAAAAAATGATTCATGTTTTCACTTATGTAATGTGCTTAATTGGTTATTTCATGGCCCGAATTAGATTGGGAATTGAATTAAATGCTAAATTGAAGCCACGAGTGAGGTTGGGGAATCTGTAATATGAACATAGTGGCATTCAGTTAGAATGCGTTCATTCCTAAGTATAGTAGATATAAGCTATAAGGTTAGATTCCTTTTAACCTTCTGTGGTGTAGTGGTAGCGCCTTGACTTAGTAATCATAAGTCCTAGGTTCGAGTCTAGGTCGGGGTAAAAAATTAATGATTCATGTTTTCACATATGTAATGTGCTTCATTGGTTATTTCATGGCCGAATGAGATTGGGAATTGAATTAAATGCTAAAATGAAGCCACGAGTGAGGTTGGGGAATCTGTAATATGAACATAGTGGCATTCAGTTAGAATGCGTTCATTTCTAAGTACAGCAGATATAAGCTATAAGGTTAGATTCCTTTTAACCTTCTGTGGTGTAGTGGTAGCGCCTTGACTTAGTAATCATAAGTATTAGGTTCGAGTCCCGGTCGGGGTAAGAAAAATGATTCATGTTTTCACATATGTAATATGCTTAATTGGTTATTTCATGGCCCGAATGAGATTAGGAATTGAATTAAATTCTAAAATGAAGCCTCGAGTGAGGTTGGGGAATCTGTAATATGAACATAGTGGCATTCAGTTAGAATGCGTTCATTCCTAAGTATAGCAGATATAAGCTATAAGGTTAGATTCCTTTTAACCTTCTGTGGTGTAGTGGTAGCGCCTTGACTTAGTAATCATAAGTCCTAGGTTCGAGTCCCGGTCGGGGTAAAAAAAATTATTCATGTTTTCATATATGTAATGTGCTTAATTGGTTATTTCATGGCCCGAATGAGATTGGGAACTGAATTAAATGCTAAAATGAAGCCACGAGTGAGATTGGGGAATCTGTAATATGAACATAGTGGCATTCAGTTAGAATGCGTTCATTCCTAAGTATAGCAGATATAAGCTATAAGACTAGATTCCTTTTAACCTTCTGTGGTGTAGTGTTAGCGCCTTGGCTTAGTAATCATAAGTCCTAGGTTCGAATCCCAGTCGGGGTAAAAAAAATTATTCATGTTTTCACATATGTAATTTGTTTAATTGGTTATTTCATGGCCCGAATGAGATTGGGAATTGAATTAAATGCTAAAATGAAGCCACGAGTGAGGTTGGGGAATCTGTAATATGAACATATTGGCATTCAGTTAGAATGCGTTCATTCCTAAGCTATAAGGATAGATTCCTTTTAACCTTCTGTGGTGTAGTGGTAGCACCTTGACTTAGTAATCATAAGTCCTAGGTTCGAGTCCCAGTCGGGGTAAAAAAAATGATTCATGTTTTCACTTATGTAATGTGCTTAATTGGTTATTTCATGGCCCGAGTGAGATTGGGAATTGAATTAAATGCTAAAATGAAGCCACGAGTGAAGTTGGGGAATCTATAATATGAACATAGTGGCATTCAGTTAGAATGCGTTCATTTCTAAGTATAGCAGATATAAGCTATAAGGTTAGATTCCTTTTAACCTTCTGTGGTGTAGTGGTAACGCCTTGACTTAGTAATCATAAGTCCTAGGTTCGAGTCCCGGTCGGGGTAAAAAAATAATGATTCATGTTTTCACATATGTAATGTGCTTAATTGGTTATTTCATGGCCCGAATGAGATTGGGAAGTCAATTAAATGCTAAAATGAAGCAACGAGTGAGGTTGGGGAATCTGTAATATGAACATATTGGCATTCAGTTAGAATGCGTTCATTCCTAAGTATAGCAGATATAAGTGTGGGGGTTTTATTTTAAATGATGATGCTAGAGTGTTAAGATTCTGTTTTACTAAGGGGACTCAAAGTACCGAGCTCGGTTAAGAGCTCACAAACAGACAGGACAGATATTTGTACTTGAACACCCTATCTTCAATACCATTAGTCGGTTAAATGAAACTCAGAATTCAACTTTCTTTTAATTTTGGAAATGCAATGACATTAAAAGAATTGAATTAAATTTCTCAAATTAAACTTTATGAAATGCTGCCTCGAATCCCGGAGGAGGTGAGTATGAGTTCGTTTCCCGGCACCACGGACGTATGCCAAGACTTTGGCCTCAACTCGATGATTACCTCTGTCACACAGGCAGAGTAGAATACAGGACACTGCAATTTCAGAAACAGAAATGACACAGTTTATAATGGGAAACTGAAAGCATGAGCACACATATAATGAGTTTCCAATGTCATTCTACTGGATGAATATATATAGGTTATTCACAGCTAACCAGAAATATTTATGCTACCATAATAGCATACAAAACATTAATTCTTTACTGGTTTTAAAGAAAATAATATATTCACAATAAATGAAGAATAAGCAAGACAAATACAGTACTGTATGTATTCCTTAAATTGTGGGCAACCACAAAAGTTGCAATGCTTATTCCGGATATGAAATTAATATGGTAAAACACTCTATTTAGGGTGAAGGAAGAATCTACGAGATAAATACAGTATTCATTCACTTTTAGTTATCAAGAACTTTGCAATAAAAAAAGGGTGCAAAACCACCTTTTGAGGTATTTGCAACTTATAACTCAAAACACTTTATCCCCAACATATGAAGAATTAGCAAGATAAATACGGTATGCATTCATTAAAATGTGGTTAACAAGAAATATTTGCATAGCCAACTGGGAAAAATTACCTTTTGAATATTTGCAATTTGGCTTTTTGGCAAATAGCTTTATTGACGAGTTTTTGAAGTAAAAACACTTTATTTACGATGATAGAAAGGGGTGAAATGAAATTAGAATTTATTAGGAAGAGAGATAGATTTTTACGGGCTCATAACTTAGTCTTCAGAGGATGAGATTTTCGTTTATCACATTCAGTGAAAAGAAACTTCTCAGCAATATATACCAGCTGTAATTTACAGGTTAAGGAATTAACTTTGGCATGTGAGATTCCAGTGTGGTAATCTACAAAATTTCGTGTGACTGGGAATGGAATCTGAGAATAGAAATCCATAAGATTTATCCAGTAACGAATGTAACTAATTCTCGAAAATAAACCAATTTGCTTGACCCACGAGCTTTACCATACACTATCCCTCACCTTGTTGTGCTAGATGAATTCCTTGTTGTGCTAGATGAATTCCTGTGAAGATGCCACGTAAAATGATTTTAAATAAACTTAGACCACCCAGGCGAGATGTTGCCTCTGGGCAGTCTCGGCGCCAAAAGAGAGCGTCTCCTCGTGGTGCTTCGTGACGTCATCTGTAGGAGACATTCCTAGAGCAGTAATTGGCTCTGATTTCATTTTAAGGATTATTTTAGTGGTGGTCCCTGGCAGGCAATTATAGCAGAGATGCAAGGGAGAGACAGTATTTTTAGGTGCAACAAGTGGAAGCAAATAAAATAAAACGAGAATACTAATGAAAAGTTAGGTTACTGGTTCTGTGTTTCTTTTTAATTTTCTTGGCCCGTTGCAGGCAGAAAAATAGGAGCAGCCTTTATATTGGGGCTATACTTCTACACGTACAAGAAGAGTAAATAAACACTATAGAATTAGCTATAAGCTAAAATACAAGTTGCAAATAATCATAATCTGCGAAAGTCAAGAAGTGGGAATTATTTTATTAGTTAGAAAATAACAGTTATGTTAGAGGGAATTAATTTTTTTAGTTAGAAAATAACAGTTATGTTACTAATTTAATTAATAAGGCATCTAACAGCCTCTGTTGACATTGAGCGAAACACTCTGTCACAATAAGCTATAAGGTTAGATTCCTTTTAACCTTCTGTGGTGTAGTGGTAGCGCCTTGACTTAGTAATCATAAGTCCTAGGTTCGAGTAACGGTCAGGGTAAAAAAAATGATTCATGTTTTCACATATGTAATGTGCTTAATTGGTTATTTCATGGCCCGAATGAGATTGGGAATTGAATTAAATGCTAAAATGAAGCCACGAGTGAGGTTGGGGAATCTGTAATATGAACATAGTGGCATTCAGTTAGAATGCGTTCATTCCTAAGCATAGCAGATATAAGATATAAGGTTAGCTTCCTTTTAACCTTCTGTGGTGTAGTGGTAGAGCCTTAACTTAGTAATCATAAGTCCTAGGTTCGAGTCCCGGTCGGGGTATAAACAAATGATTCATGTTTTCACATATGTATTGTGCTTAATTGGTTATTTCATGGCCCGAATGAGATTGGGAATTGAATTAAATGCTAAAATGAAGCCACGAGTGAGATTGGGGAATCTGTAATATGAACATAGTGGCATTCAGTTAGAATGCGTTCAATCCTAAGCATAGCAGATATAAGCTATAAGATTAGTTTCCTTTTAACCTTCTGTGGTGTAGTGATAGCGCCTTGACTTAGTAATCATAAGTCCTAGGTTCGAGTCTCGGTCGGGGTAAAAAATAATGATTCATGTTTTCACATATGTAATGTGCTTAATTGGTTATTTCATGGCAGAATGAGATTGGGAATTGAATTAAATGCTAAAATGAAGCCACGAGTGAGGTTGGGGAATCTGTAATATGAACATAGTGGCATTCAGTTAGAATGCGTTCATTTCTAAGTACAGCAGATATAAGCTATAAGGTTAGATTCCTTTTAACCTTCTGTGGTGTAGTGGTAGCGCCTTGACTTAGTAATCATAAGTCCTAGGTTCGAGTCCCGGTCGGGGTAAAAAAAATGATTCATGTTTTCATATATGTAATGTGCTTAATTGGTTATTTCATGGCCCGAATGAGATTGGGAATTGAATTAAATGCTAAAATGAAGCCACGAGTGAGGTTGGGGAATCTGTAATATGAACATAGTGGCATTCAGTTAGAATGCGTTCATTCCTAAGTATAGCAGATATAAGCTATAAGATTAGATTACTTTTAACCTTCTGTGGTGTAGTGGTAGCGCCTTGGCTTAGTAATCATATCTCCTGGGTTCGAATCCCAGTCGGGGTAAAAAAGAATGATTCATGTTTTCACATATTTAATTTGTTTAATTGTTTATTTCATGGCCCGAATGAGATTGGGAATTGAATTAAATGCTAAAATGAAGCCACGAGTGAGGTTGGGGAATCTGTAATATGAACATATTGGCATTCAGTTAGAATGCGTTCATTCCTAAGTATAGCAGATATAAGCTATAAGGATAGATTCCTTTTAACCTTCTGTGGTGTAGTGGTAGCACCTTGACTTAGTAATCATAAGTCCTAGGTTCGAGTCCCAGTCGGGGTAAAAAAAATGATTCATGTTTTCACTTATGTAATGTGCTTAATTGGTTATTTCATGGCCCGAATGAGATTGGGAATTGAATTAAATGCTAAAATGAAGCCACGAGTGAAGTTGGGGAATCTATAATATGAACATAGTGGCATTCAGTTAGAATGCGTTCATTTCTGAGTATAGCAGATATAAGCTATAAGGTTAGATTCCTTTTAACCTTCTGTGGTGTAGTGGTAATGCCTTGACTTAGTAATCATAAGTCCTAGGTTCGAGTCTCGGTCGGGGTAAAAAAATAATGATTCATGTTTTCACATATGTAATGTGCTTAATTGGTTATTTCATGGCCCGAATGAGATTGGGAAGTGAATTAAATGCTAAAATGAAGCCACGAGTGAGGTTGGGGAATCTGTAATAGGAACATAGTGGCATTCAGTTAGAATGCGTTCATTCCTAAGTATAGCAGATATAAGCTATAAGGATAGATTCCTTTTAACCTTTTGTGGTGTAGTGGTAGCGCCTTGACTTAGTAATCATAAGTCCTAGGTTCGAGTCCCGGTCGGGGTAAAAAAAATTATTCATGTTTCCACATATGTAATGTGCTTAATTGGTTATTTCATGGCCCGAATGAGATTGGGAATTGAATTAAATGCTAAAATGAAGCCACGAGTGAGGTTGGGGAATCTGTAATAGGAACATAGTGGCATTCAGTTAGAATGCGTTCATTCCTAAGTATAGCAGATATAAGATATAAGGTTAGCTTCCTTTTAACCTTCTGTGGTGTAGTGGTAGAGCTTTAACTTAGTAATCATAAGTCCTAGGTTCGAGTCCCGGTCGGGGTAAAAACAAATGATTCATGTTTTCACATATGTGATGTGCTTAATTGGTTATTTCATGGCCCGAATGAGATTGGGAATTGAATTAAATGCTAAAATGAAGCCACGAGTGAGGTTGGGGAATCTGTAATATGAACATAGTGGCATTCAGTTAGAATGCGTTCAATTCTAAGTATAGCAGATATAAGCTATAAGATTAGGTTCCTTTTAACCTTCTGTGGTGTAGTGGTAGCGCTTTGACTTAGTAATCATAAGTCCTAGGATCAAGTCCCGGTCGGGATAAAAAAAATGATTCATGTTTTCACATATGTAATGTGCTTAATTGGTTATTTCATGGCCCGAATGAGATTGGGAATTGAATTAAATGCTAAAATGAAGCCACGAGTGAGGTTGGGGAATCTGTAATATGAACATAGTGGCATTCAAAAAGAATGCATTCATTCCTAAGTATAGCAGATATAAGCTATAAGGTTAGATTCCTTTTAACCTTCTGTGGTGTAGTGGTAGCGCCTTGACTTAGTAATCAAAAGTCCTAGGTTCGAGTCCCGGTCGGGGTAAAAAAAAAAATGATTCATGTTTTCACATATGTAATGTGCTTAATTGGTTATTTCATGGCCCGAATGAGATTGGGAATTGAATTAAATGCTAAAATGAAGCCACGAGTGAGGTTGGGGAATCTGTAATATGAACATAGTGGCATTCAGTTAGAATGCGTTCATTCTTAAGTATAGCAGATATAAGCTATAAGGTTAGATTCCTTTTAAACTTCTGTGGTGTAGTGGTAGCGCATTGACTTAGTAATCATAAGTCCTAGGTTCGAGTCCCGGTCGGGGTAAAAAAAATGATTCATGTTTTCACATATGTAATGTGCTTAATTGGTTATTTCATGGCCTGAATGAGATTGGGAATTGAATTAAATGCTAAAATGAAGCCACGAGTGAGGTTGGGAAATCTGTAATATGAACATAGTGGCATTCAGTTAGAATGCGTTCATTCCTAAGTATAGCAGATATAAGCTATAAGGTTAGATTCCTTTTAACCTTCTGTGGTGTAGTGGTAGCGCCTTGACTTAGTAATCAAAAGTCCTAGGTTCGAGTCTCGGTCGGGGTAAAAAAAATGATTCATGTTTTCACATATGTAATGTGCTTAATTGGTTATTTCATGGCCCGAATGAGATTGGGAATTGAAATAAATGCTAAAATGAAGCCACGAGTGAGGTTGGGGAATCTGTAATATGAACATAGTGGCATTCAGTTAGAATGCGTTCATTCCTAAGTATAGCAGATATAAGCTATAAGGATAGCTTCCTTTTATCCAACTGTGGTGTAGTGGTATCGCCTTTGACTTAGTAATCATAAGTCCTAGGTTCGAGTCCCGGTCGGGTAAAAAAAATGATTCACGTATTCACATATGTAATGTGCTTAATTGGTTATTTCATGGCCCGAATGAGATTGGGAATTGAATTAAATGCTAAAATGAAGCCACGAGTGAGGTTGGGGGAATCTGTAATATGAACATAGTGGCATTCAGTTAGAATGCGTTCATTCCTAAGTATAGCAGATATAAGCTATAAGATTAGATTCCTTTTAACCTTCTGTGGTGTAGTGGTAGCGGCTTGACTTAGTAGTCATAAGTCCTTGGTTCGAGTCCCGGTCGGGGTAAAAAAAATGATTCATGTTTTCACATATGTAATGTGCTTAATTGGTTATATCATGGCCCGAATGAGATTGGGAATTGAATTAAATGCTAAAATGAAGCCACGAGTGAGGTTGGGGAATCTGTAATATGAACATAGTGGTATTCAGTTAGAATGCGTTAATTCTTAAGTATAGGAGATATAAGCTATAAGATTAGATTCCTTTTAACCATCTGTGGTGTAGTGGTAGTGCCTTGACTTAGTAATCATAAGTCCTAGGTTCGAATCCCAGTCGGGGTAAAAAAGAATGATTCATGTTTTCACATATGTAATGTGCTTAATTGGTTATTTCATGGCCCAAATGAGATTGGGAATTGAATTAAATGCTAAAATGAAGCCACGAGTGAGGTTGGGGAATCTGAAATATGAACATAGTGGCATTCAGTTAGAATGCGATCATTCCTAAGTATAGCAGATATAAGCTATAAGAGTAGATTCCTTTTAACCTTCTGTGGTGTAGTGGTAGCGCCTTGACTTAGTAATCATAAGACCTAGGTTCGAGTCCCGGTCGGGGAAAAAAAATATTCATATATATATATATATATATATATATATATATATATATATATATATATATATATATATATATATATATATATATATATATATATATATATATATATATATATATATATATATATATATATATATATATATATATATATATATATATATATATATATATATATATATATATATATATATATATATATATATATATGTATATATATATATATATATGTATATATATATATATATATATATATATATATATATATATATATATATATATATATATATATATATATATATATATATATATATATATATATATATATATATATAAATATATATATATATATATATATATATATATATATATATATATATATATATATATATATATATATATGTATATATATATATATATATATATATATATATATATATATATACATATATATATATATATATATATATATATATATATATATATATATATATATATATATATATATACCAGCCTCATAGCCAATATAAGGGCCGACAATTGACACCTCCAAGAAGCCGTGACCCAAGGTAAATTATTGGGAAAATAATCATCGAAGCTGGCAATATAAGTACCAGATGGTCTAGACCTTAACCCCTCCATAGAGCAAGGCCAGCCATTAGAATTAATCTCTTGGCTGAGCATAATAATTATTGGTCAAAGATGCACCTAGAGACCGCCTACTCTTATGTATGTGGAGGATTGATCGAGGTATAAAAAGGATAACATTCAATTAGAGAGAGTCAGTCAGTAGCAATTCCTAGGAAGTGTATAGAGAGGCTAAGTCAAGTCTTCAGTCATTTCTGGTCTGAGTCATCAGTCAGCTATCACAGCTGATTTAGGCCTAGACTGCACAAAGATGTCGCTTAGATAGACATATACCAACACCCTCGGAGGCTTTTGGGGCTATCAGTTGTTTGTAAGAATACTTCAAAAAAGTATATCATCCGTTCTCCCAAGACTTATGTTTGATTCATCCACCACTCAGATCTTGATGATGGAGTAAAGATGCCATAATAACACGTCAATCTTTTCCCAGGTGCATATGGGGACGTTGATTATCACTGACTTAGTACTTTATGGTCAGACACCTTCCTGACGTCAATCTTCTTCAGTTATCTGGGCTTGAAACTGGTACCGAGTGGAACTGCCTTGCTACCCTACTGACTGGATTATTATAGCAACATTCACACCCTTTATCCATTAACTATTGTACACTGTCTTTCCGTTTGATAGTTTTTAATTTCCTTTTCTTTAGCATGCCTTATTTAAGGATATGATTGAATTTTATATCATATTTTTTTTTCTATTATTCAAAGGATAAATTTACGAGATCGACTAGTGAACAAGTACCTCAGGCTATTATTACGTATACATTTCCAATCTTACTAACCTGACTAACCAAACTTTACCTACCTTTGCCTATTGTATCACCAGTTACACACTCCATTTTCTCTCCCATAGCTGTTTACTCTTATATACTGTTTCTCTAGTTAGTAGATTTGAGGAGCATTTTCTTCATTTGACGCAATTTAATGTAATGACGTCACATGTGATTAATTTTTTTTTCCTAGAGAGCGTGTTCGAGGTCTGCATCGGGAGATTAGTGCACCACTCCTCTGTTCGCGTTATTATTATTGTAAGTTTTGAACATCGG